CTCAGTGGAAAAAAAGGAGCCCTATAAACTCAGGGGGTTATTACCCTGGAGATCCCATCAAGCATGGGCTCTGGCGGGCTCTGGCAGTGTTTTGTCTGACCAGCAGGGGGCACTATGAGGGGGAGCCTGGGCCAGATCCTGAGCTGGAACCCCTTGGTTCCTCCAGGAACACCTTGTGGAGGCCCTGGGGCGAGGTACCAAGCCTACAGCACAAGCTGTGGGGACACAGTTGTGAAGGGACAGGGATGCTAAGGTGCCCCTACCAAGTGGTGGTGTGGGGGGGTCCTAACTCAGTGAGATGGGGACTAGGGTGGGCGCTAGGCAGGCATAGTGACCCCTTGCCCTGGGAGCCCACAGGAAATTGAGGAGAGATGGCTCACCTAAAGCTCAGGCCAGAGGGCTGGACTGGAAATCCAGAGGGAAACACAGGCGGTCAGGGCTGTGGGCTCCAGGGCCACACTGCCTGGCTTCGAATGCTGGCTCTGCCACCTTGGGCAAGTTATTTCACCTCTCTGGGCTTCTCCTCACCTATAAAATGAGAATAATACTAACAGTCTGTACCCCAGAAACCCCAGAACTGTCGTGAGGACTACAGAGCTGATCCCGGGTAATGCCCCTCAGAACAGGGCCTGACCCTGCAAGCTCCTTATGTCAGTGGTCTAAATGTTGGCAGTGGAGGCCACCAGGGGCGTGCCACTTGGGGAGTGTGGTGAGGACAGGGCTGGGAAGGAGGCCACCTAGAGATGAGAGAGGGGCACAGGCTGAGAGGTTTGGGGGAGGGGAGCACAGGCTGGAGGCAGGAGGGGTGGTCGTGGAGTGGGGAAGGGAGTTTGAAGGAGGAGAGGGTGGCCACACACTGGTGCTGTCCCCATCTGGCTCTTCTGCAGAGTCACCTTCCACTGACAGGAGCCTCCTCTGCCATGTGCCCTGGGGCCTCTCTGAGCCTCAGTCTCCTCTATAAAATGGGGGAAAAGCCCCTATGTCATAGGGTTTGAAAGCTTCCCTAAGACAGCCCAGTTCTGGAAGGAATTAGATACCCGCTGCTGAAATCTCCTTGGCCCACAAGGGGCTGGAGCTGGCTCTGTCCCCACAGCCGCCACTGGGCCCATTGTTTGGGAAACCAGTCTAAGAGGAAACCCCCAAAACAAACAGCCTGGCTGGCCTCCCCTGCCCTGCCCTGCCCTGCCCTGCCCAGCCTCCCAGCCCTGGAGTAGGCAGGTGGGAGGGGAGAATAGCACGGCCAGTGGTCAGCGGGAGTGTGGAGGGGCAGCCAGGCGGGTCAGGGGCACTGACAGAGGGGCCCCAGGACTCACCTGAGGGGAGAGTGCTCCTTTCTGGAGGGGGGACAGTAGGCACTGGGGCCCCTGGGAGCACATCAGAACCCTCCCCAAGGTCCTGACCCCCACGTCTGGTAAGGAGCTGGACCGCCCCAGGCGGGTGGTGACCCCCCTCAGCAGGGCTTTGAGGCCTGCTGGAAGGACAGAAGCCAACGGGGTGGAGCCAAGGAGGCAGGAGGAAGCGGGTTCCAGCCGGGTCCTGACTGAGGTGGGGAGGACCTCTGCAGGTGGGCATCAGGATGTCCCAGGAGCAGGATGGGGGTGGGGAACTGGGTTCAGTTAAGACTAAAAGTTCCCTGGTTCCTGCACCTGGGTGAGGGACCCCTGTGTGCATCTCCTCTGATCCTCACCACCAGCTGGGGACACCGTGCACTGGGCAGTCTGAGGCTCTGGGGGCCGAGTGCTGGGATTCCAAGTTCTGTTAGAGTGGAACTCGCCACTCGTGATGATGGGGGTTTCACCTGGGGCTGGTGACTCTGGGGACCTTGAGCTTTGGTGACATTCCTGGGCCTGGCTGGGGCCAGGTGGAGGCCAGGGCTGAGCAGGAGTAGGGGTGAGCCTCTGATCCTGGAGGCTGCGGGTGGAGGGCACGAGCCATGTTAACAGTGAACATGAAGAGCAGGGAGGTGTGGCTCTGGGGACAGTGGTCACTTCCCCTTCCCCCAGCCCTAGGGGACCCCCTGAGTCAGAAGAAGGATGTTTTCTTGTTGTCCCCCCCAGTTTTCACCTGGAAACCTCTTCAGTGCCCCCAGCAGGCCTTCCTCTGGGGACCCTGGCACACTGGTGTGCTGGGGTCTGGGCTGCTCATGTGTGTCTGGGGAAATGTCCCCACAGTGAGGCTCCCATGAGGGTCAGGCCCTGGATCCCCGGCCCTGGGTCATAGAGCCCCTTCCAACTTGGAAACAAGGGCCAGACTTCCAAGGCTGAGGGGGTGGAATGGGGGGCAGGAGCCGGGCAGGGAAGAGGCTCCCTGGCCGGGGCTTGTCCACACTCTGGCTCCCTCTGGATGGGCCTGAGCTCATTCTCAGCATGGGACCCTCTCCCTTGACCTTGGCCCTCCTCACAGCCCCTCCCTCTCCCTGCAGTTCCCTAACCTTTCCTGTCCTCACCAACTGGGACCAGCAGACCTGGGCTCTGAGGCCCTAAAATCTAAATGCACCTGGGGACACTTCCTCCAGAGGGGGACAGGGCCGCTGGGTGGGACAGGGAGAGAGAAGCTTGCTGAGCGGGAGGCTGTGAAGAAGCTCAGAGATTTGGGACCAAAAAGGGAGATTCAGCTGTGACCAAGTGAGTTAACCTCACCGTCTCCACTTCCCGGTGGACCGGGCTGTGGGTTCGCTGGGCCCGGCGTACACTGAGTGCTTGGGAGCATTTGCTGTTACTGTTATTGGAAGGTGGCCTCACATGACCTGTCTTCCCCCTCACTTCTCATGAGGGAAACTCCAGGCTCAGAGAGGGTGTGGGCCCTGTTCTGGGTCACACAGCGCTCTGAGATGGCTGGGCTGGCGCCTCCCCAGGGCGGGTCCCTTGGGGTAGGCTCCATTGTACTCTCCCCAGCAGGAAACCGCTGCGCTCAGCACCCTGGGCAGCGGAGAAGAGGAACGAGTTTGGCTACGTGACTGGCCCTCCCTGGAGGCTGAGCCAGGATCAGTGCCCGGAAAACAACCTGCTGGGGTGGGCAGAGGGTGGAGGCCGCCCTGCTGGAGAAGGGGAAGTGGCCCAGGGCTGGCCTTCCCCCGGATGGTGCTGGGAGGAGGCTTCGGGGCCCTGTGCCCCAAACCTGCCTGAGGGGGCAGCTGGCTGCTTCCCTGACATGTGGCCTCTCTGAGGAGCCGTGGGCATGCGGGTGGGCAGCGAAGCCAGTGGGCACACGTGGCCTCTGGGGTGATCCGTGTGGGACGCCTGCCACTCATTGGCTCAGGCGTATGGGGATTCAGCGGGCATCCAGGTGGGAGGAAGGCTCAGCCCTGCCCACGGGCTGCTTGGCTCCCAGGGAGCTGGTACCTGCAGGGCCAAAGCCCAGAGCTAAGAGGCTGAGCCCCTGCGGAGCTGCCTTGCCTCCTGGAGCCAGGTGAGTCCCTCAGGCCTCCTGGAGCCATGGCCGCCTCCCCTCTGCATCCAGAGCTGACTTGGGGCCAGGAAACTGGCTGGGAGGACAAGGCCCTGCAGGTCCCCGTTAGGCCAGGGACCCCAGGGAGGGTGCTGAATGTCAGACCAGCCAGGAGCCAAAGGGGAGCCATTGAAGGAGGCAGCACAGTGCAGAAGGGGGTCCGATGAGGCCACGGAAGGGACCAGACTGGAGGCTCGGAGGCCAAAGCTAGGGGGGTAAAGACCAGGCCAGAGAGGAGGGGGTCTGGGACCCCCACCTTCTAAGGAAGGCCTTAGACATCAGCAGGGGGTCTGGGAGGCGGGAGGGGGAAGAAGGTGGGATGGAGGCCCAGAGGGTGAGGGAAAGAGGAAAAGAAACAGGAGGGCAGGCAATGTTGAGCAGAGCCTCAGCTGGGGACCCGGACACCTGTGTTCCCACGGCCTGATCAGTGGAGGCTCACTGTGACCCATTGCTTAAGGAAATGAAACTTGGGAAGAAAACCAGAAGAGAACACCCTGCCTCGATTACGAGAACTGCCCCAAGCGGCAGCTGCAACCCGAGCTCAGCTGTCCCGTCTCCTGCCGCCACAGCCGGGGATTTTGCCTCAACTGCCTGCTTTCTGAGAAAGACAACGTTCACGACACAGAGAGCTCCTGCCAACCCAGGGCTCCCGGACTCTCCAAGGCCCTCGGGGCCCATCTCTAAAAGGGGGCTCTAAAGTCCTGCCTCAGAGGACTGGTGGCAAGAATAAGAGATGCTAAGGCAGGCAAGGTGGCACTAGCCTGTAACCCAGCCACTTGGGAGGCTGAGGGAGGAGGATTTCAAGTTCAAGGCCAGCCTCAGCAGCTTGGTGAGACCCTGTCTCAAAAAACACACAAAAAAAAACTGTGGGGCTGAGGTTGTGGCTCAGTGGTAGAGCGCTGCCTAGCATGCATGAGGCACTGGGTTCGAGCCGCAGCACCACATAAAAATAAAATAAAGATATTGGTTCCACCTATAACTAAAAAATAAATATTAAAAGAAGAGCTGTGGATGTATCTCAGTGGTTGGTTGCTCCTGGGTTCAACCCCCACTGCTACAGGGAAAAGAGAGAGAGAGAGAGACCCTGTGTGGGGTGAGTGGCGTATAAGATCTAGAATGTCTGGCAGCCCAGGGACACTCTGCTCTGACACCGCCCTGGGAGGCAGATACAACCCACCCATCATGCAGAAGGGGGAGACTGAGGTTCGGGGAGGTGAAGGGGCTTGTTCATGACCACCCTGCAGTTCTAACCCCCAAAGCTGTTTTCTCTCCAGTAGGGGAGGAAAGGGGTGGGTGGTGGGTGCAGAATCCACCTGCCCCTCACTTGGCTTGGGGGAGAGGACTCCCATCCCTCCTCCCATCTCTCCTGGCCTCCCCCGCCCCCCTTACCAAGGGCAGGCCCTGAGAGGGATGGTGCCAGTACCCAGGAGACCCCTTTCTGGCCAGCACCCATGCTGGGGCTGCAGGGACTCCATGGTCTAACCCGACTCTTTTCTGCCTTAGCCACAGCCCGCTTCCTGTCCAGCTGCCTTCTGGGACGGCAGAGGGCAGTCCCTCTCGTGTACCCCATCCTGCCCACGGCTGTGGGAGGAGAGCTCACAGTGCTTTTCTCCAGGGCAGGGTCCTCTCTGGCCCTGGGTGCCCTGGCACTCTGCCAGCCTGCCCTGAGGGGAACTGAGGCCTCCCACGCAGAGGGGCTGCTGGGGCCCAGGTGGGACCTAGTCAGCTGGCTCCCAAGAGGGACCGGAGTCGTCCTCCTCCAGCCACACCTCTGGTGCCCAACCCAGCAGGGCCAGGGCCTCGAACGCTGGCTGGAGCCAGGCAGAAGCCGGCAGCCTGTCCAAGCACACCTGGCCAGGTGAGCGGGCCATGGGGCCCAGAGCCAGCTCATGGCTTGGGTGTAAACAGCAGCCCAGTGGGAAGCTGGCAGGCGCCTCCGCGGCCGGCCCCAGCCCCCTCCCAAGGAAGCCCCGCCCGGGGGGAAGAGGGTGTCCCAACTTGTCGGAGGAGTTGCCATCCCACACCTGAGCCCACGCTGGGCGTGTGCGGGGGTGACCGCTGGGGCCACAGAGAATCTTTGTCTTCCAGACCCCGCCCTTCCCTTCTCTTCCTGGCCGGCGCTGGGGAAGCTCCAGGCTCTTGGAAAGGCCAAGCCCCATCTCAGTTCCGCACACAGACGCCTCCAGGACCCTGGAGCCCAGCAGAGCAGGGGCAGGTGGAGCTGGATCATGCCCTGAGCGTGCTTTTGTCCCCTGCTGCCACCAGCTGAGAACTGTGTCCCTGGGAAGGAAGGTCTGCAGCCCCAAGGTTTCCTGAAGGGAAAAGAAAACAGATCTCTACCGGGCTCTTGACCCCATGCCCCAGTGCCCTGGCACCTCCACTTAAAGATAGGGAAACCGACGCTAGGCCTCCAGTGTTGGGGGGGCTTGGACCTCTTCTGCCTTATGTGCCCCAGCACATGGCAATACCTTAGGGTGAACTTGTGTAATGGACGGATGAGGCTCAGAGAGGGCAAGCGCCTGGTTGAGTCCACACAGCGAGAAAAGAGCTCTACTGGGAATCAACCCCAGGCCAGTGTGAATGCTAAATTCAGACCCACCCACTGAGGTAGGGGCATCACACACACACACATGAGTATGCTCCCACCCTTCTGCCCAAGTGCTACCTACACAAATACACACCCATGTGCGTGCACCCGTGCACACCCCCCGTGGAGCTCCTGGCCACTCTCGCTGCTCAAGCCCATGTAAGGGGGCTCCCCCCGCACCTCCAGCAGACAGGCTTCCTTCTGTGCTGGTCTCACACCCTCCTCTGTCACCACCCCCTCCTCCACGCCTGCAGCAGGCAGGATGGCACATGCCCGCTTCCACCCCCGCAGCCCTGCTGCCCTTTCTGCCTCCCCGGGCCCCAGCGGCTGCACAGGGCTACACTAGACGCCCTGGAGAAGGTTTGAGACTCACAGAGCATCAATGGCAGAGGCCCAAGCCCGGTTCCCACAGGGTGGATGGAGCCCCAGGAGTGGGCAGCATGCACCCACTCTGGTGGGCTAGTGCCTGGGTGGCATTGGAGGCTTGGCTGCCAGCAGGGCCATTCCAAAATTTGGGGTCCTCTCCTGGCTGTGTCATGTGGTCCGGTCTCAGGGATCAGCTTAAAGTGCAGGTGAGGGGCCAGGACACCAGGAGCCCTGAGCCTGCTTCGTGCAACCCAGGCCTGTGTGGGACCCAGCTGGGGTCTCAGGTCCCTGGGCAGCGGGGCAGGGAACTTGCTCTCCGGAGCAGGCCAAACCTGGAAGGCGTTCCTGCTGCTTCTCTCCTAACAAGGGACCCACGAGGCAGAGGTGGTCAGGGCCGCTCAGAGGCTTCTGGGAGGTGCAGAAGGCAGGTGCCCAGCTCTGGTTATTCATTTGCTCTCACAGCAATCCGAGGAGACAGGCACTAATGTCCCTTAGGTACCAACAGTATTCGTATTTTCCAGGGGGATAAACTAAGCCACAGAGAGTTAAGTCACCGGCCCCAGGTCCCTGACCCCAGGCATGTAGCTGGCGTCCCTGGCATTTGTTGAGAAGATGAAGCTGAAGGCAGATGTGACCCGCACAAGGTCAGGAGCCCAGGATTGGAACCCAGATCTGGTGTCAGAAGTTCTTGGGTTTCGGGTCCTCGGCTGAGCCTCCTCTGCAGCCCTGGGACCCACCCAGGAGGCACGGCTGGCGTCTGCCCTCGAGGGCACCCTGCACCTTGTGGCCAGCTTCCCAGAGCTCCCGACCTTTCCTTTCCAATGGAGGCTGCAAGAAGCAGCCCCTGACACAGGACCCAGCCCAGCCCTCCCAGCCAGGCCTGGGTGTCATCCTGCCACACGGAAGTGATTTCAGTCACTGATGTCAGACAGGGCCACTCTGTGACCAGGATGGATCAAGACAAAACATCGAGAGCACGCTGCCATCATGTCTGAATACAGACAAAAAAACCAACACCCTCCAAACCACAAACACGACCCAATGTCCTCTATCTTCGTTGCCTGAGTGACAGCAGCTTCAGCACCCATTCACTTCTCTTCCTTTCCAGATAAAAGCCACTAAGATCCCCCATCACAGGATCGCCTCCGCTTTGTGAGCACACGCCTGAGACAAAGGCTCCGTCTCCTTGCATCCTCCCGGAAGCACCCAGAACAAGCCCCTGTTTTTCCAGTCCTTCCTAGGACCCTGTGCGCAGATGGTCCCCGGCTTCCCAGGTGTGCACGCCCCTTCGTTCCAACCGCCAATAAACCCCCACTGCGCTCAGGCAGGTGACTCTGGTGGCCCTTGGCTGGGACCCTGCACGAAGTCTCACAACTGAACAAGACTCGGTTTGTTCAGCCCATTTCATTGATGCCTCTGGAGCCACAGCAGTGAGTCAGCCCCAAAGTATCAGCCCCCGGGAGGCACGACGGGGCCAGAGGGGAGCCTTCAGCTCCATCTGTCCCCAGGAGCCTTCAGCTCCATCTGTCCCCAGGAGGCCTATTTCCAGCCCTGTGGCTGGAGAAAGAATGTTCGCTGCTTGATGGTCCTGCAGCACCTGCTGGCCCCGTCCGCTGTCCTCTCCGCCCCAGCCCTGTGGTAGGGCGTTGGCACCTGCAGGAGGAGACGGAGAAAGGGAACGAGTGCTTGGGCCAGAAGCCCTGGGCCCTGCGCTTGCCTCTGCCTCTCATTTGCCATGTAGCCTGCTCCTCAGTTTATCCATCAGGACAATGGGTGGGTGAGGCCGAGGCGGGTGAAAGGTTGAAGGGACTTGCCCACCTGGGCCCGCTCTCTCCCTTGCCTGAAATCCTCAGGTTCAGGCAGGGCAGAAACCTTCTGGTCTCCCGCTCTCTACCCTGGTTCCCTGAGGGTTAATCCACCTTCTAGAACAGACACAGGGCTGACCTGAGGCGCAGGTGAGCATCTGGGGGATTCCATATGTCCCCGGTCACTAGAGCCCTGGCTGGGTAGGGAGCCGTGTTGCTCGTGACCAGTGGAAAGCTTCGGGCTCAGGCTCTGTGTCCTTCCAGCCCCGTTCCTCCTCGCTCCCTGGATCAGGGACCACATCCAAGCCAAACAGGATGGTCAGGACGGAGCCGGAGGTGGCCCGGGTAGGGCCCACAGGGCCTCGGGGCTCCTAGGGAGGAGGCGGTGGCAGTTGAGGAAGAAGGTCTCTGTAGCTTCATTCAGCTCTAAATCCTGCTGTCTGGTGACTGGGGATGTGGCATTCTCCTCTCTGCCCCAGGCGGGAGGAGAGGAAGGAAGCAGAGCTGGGGACTGAGGTGTGAGCCAACAGGTGACCTTTCAAAAGAAGAATCCTTTTCTTTCCCTGCAGCCCATCTTCAGGAGGGAAGAGAGAATCCAGAAAGCCTGTGGGTCCTTCAGTGCCCTCTCCTCACACTCTATTCAGATTCACCCTTCCAGGCCCTTCCACATCCCCCTCCCAAATGCCTCTCCCCTCTGCCCGGAAGTCCCTCCCCGCCATATCCCCTTTGCTTGGAGATTCCATCCATCAAGCCTCATCTTAATGTCACTTCCTCCAAGAAGCCTCCCCTGGTTGGATCTTGGATGTACCTATGGCTCTCTCTGCCCCTCCCTCCCAAATTTGAACACACTGAGTGGTAAGTCACTGTCTGTGACCTTCCTCCAGGGTTAGCAGCAGCCTATCTTGTTCACCCCTGAATCCCCACTGCCTGGGATGAGCCTGGCATACAGTGGGTGCCACATAAATGTTTGATGATGAGTGATCACAGTGATGGAGATGAGAACTTTAGAGGCCAGAGCTGAAAGCAAAGAACCTTAAGTTGGAAAGGTTTTGGTGGCAACGCTCTGAGCAAGATTTGGAGATTGGGGTGCCTGAGACAAGTAGGAAGGGGGTTGCCCTGGTCTAGGCACAGCCTGGCAAAGATGAGGAGAACCAGTGGGAAATGATGGCTCTGAGAGACTTCTACTTCAAGTAAGGCTGGGACTTAGATCCTGCTAAGGACAACTCCAATCCCTAGATCAATTTTTTGAAAAAAAAAAAAAAATTCATCTTCTTAAGACCACTGAACAGTTCAGTAGGTAGAAGCCAGGCGCAGTGGTGCCCGTGTGTAGTTCCCAGCTACTTGAGAGGCTGAGGCAAGAGGATCACTTGAGTCCAGGAATTCAAGACCAGCCAGGGCAACACAGTGAGATCATGTCTCAAAACAAAAACAAAACTTAACAAGGTAACAAGAGGGGCTGGGGTTGTGGCTCAGAGGTAGAGTGCTTGCCTAGCATGCATGAGGCACTGGGTTCAATCCTCAGCACCCCATAAAAATAAAATACAGATATTGTGTCCAATAACTAAAAAAATAAATATTAAAAAAAACAAGGTAGCAAAGAATTTTCTAGCAAAGAATATTCTAACCAGAATTCAGAAGGCAAGAATCCAGGGGAAATGTCCAGTGTGCAAGACCACATTTTCCCTGGAGCATTTGCCAACAGGAAAGAAACAGCTTTGAAACCAACCTGTGGTTGTGATGTCCTCATGGGGCAGGGGTGAGAGAAGGAGGGTAAAAGGTGAACCCAGGGACCCGGGGTGCTCAGTGGTGGAGTACCTGGTTAACATGGATGAGGCCCAGGTTCAACCCCCAGCACCACAAAAAAGAAAAGAAAAAGGAAAAAAGAAGGAAGAAAAGATGAGGAATCCAGTACTCTATGTCACCTTTAAATCAAAATGTCCTTGAATAAAGGTGAACCAAACCTTGAGCCCAGTCACATGGGTGATTCAAGAAATTCAGCCCCTGAACATGAATTAAAGGGCCTTGGATTAGTAATGACCCCAGGTATCTGGTAGACATGAACAAAAAACTTGTCTAAAGGGGAGTGACAGCATCTGAGGCCTCATATGATTCTCATAAATTATTTTCAGATGTGGTGAGCAGAGCACAAAGATAACCAGGCATACAAGGAGACAAGACCCCATGAGCAAGAATCAGCACAAACAAAAGACAACAGAGGTTGACCATGATGAGTTCTGATACAGGAATTATCAGACATTATGGCCTTTGAAAGGTGTTTAAAAAAAAAAACATAAGAATCACAGGCTTACAGATCCTCGTGGTCTAGCTGATCCTAAAATTCCACATGGAGATGGAAGGAACCCCTAATAGCAAAAAGAATCAGGAAAAGAACAAATTTGAAGGCTCATAGCTCCTTATTCCAAGATAGATAGATAGATAGATTACCTTTATTTTATTTATTTGTTTTTCTGTGGTGCTGAGGATCGAACCCAGTGACTCACACATGAGAGGCAAGTGTTCTGCCACTGAGCTACAGCCTCAGCCCCATGATTCCAAGACTTAATGCAAAGCTACAATAATCAAGACTGTGCCGGACCAACCTTTAGACAGACAAATAGACCAAAAGAATGTAACTTAGAGTTCAGAAATAAACCCACGTGTTTGTGCTCATTTGAATTTTGACAAGGGTACTAAGAGAAGTCAGTGTGGGGGCAGAGTTTTCAACACATTATGCTGGGACAACTGGACCTTTACATTGTGAAATAATGAAATTGTCCCTCTACCTCACACCATATACCCCAGTAACCATTAACTCAAAACGAGGGTGGAGGCCTCAGGAAGGAGATTCATGTCATAAGATACAAGAGAGTTTTCTCCCTCTTTCCCTACCCCACTCCTAGCTCCCTCTTTTTTCTCTACCACTGAGAATACAGCAAGGAGATAGCCATCTGTGTCAGGAGGGAAGTTCTTATCAGAATCCAGTCATGCCGGCACCCTCATCTCCGACTTCCAGCCTCCAGAAGTATGAGAAATGCTCTCTGGATTTCTGTGCCAGGCCCGCAGGTCTACGGCACTTTTGTTATAGCATCCCCAAATGAGTCAATATCATTAGTCATCCGGAAAATATAAATTAAAGCCACAGAAAGATGGCTAAGGTGGCTACACCAAGAAGAAAGACAGTGACAGGTGTTGTTAAGGACAACAGAGAATGGCTTAGTGATTGCTAGGGGTGAGGGGTGACAATGCAGTTTGGGAGGATGGAATATTCTAGAATTAGACTATGCTAGGCAGTGCTCTGCTCTACCACTGAGTTACATCCCCAGCTCTATATTTAAAAATCAAATATTAATATATTAATATTTAAAGATTATGTATGTGAAGACCCTCAGAAATAATGCTAAGAAACTCCAGCTAAGGTGTGTTGAGCGCTAACCATGCAGCCGGAGTCTTCTAAGCACCTTCTTGTGGGGACACTTGTCCCCCCACATCCCTACAGGCAGGGGCTACTTTTCCAATTCACAGATGAAAACTGAGCCGAGGGAGGCCGCTTACCTGAGGTCTGTCAGGAGGCCGAGTCGAGATTCAAACCCTGTCTCCCCACATCCTGCTGCTCTGAGATCATTGGTCATTGTCTGGAGAGGAGCCTGAGAGTGGGGGAGGATGTGCCCAGGTCCCATGTGACCCAGCACCCATCAGGCCTGGAGCCAGGACAGGGGCCTCCCAAGTGCCCCCCCACCCCCCATAGGAGGTAGCTTCAGGGGGCTTGGGGGCTGGGGTTGCTATTAGGAGCTAGGACTTGATTTCCTAGACCTTAGAGGCCTGTCCTTCCTCTGGGTGTTGGAGGGACCTCAGGGAAGTTTTCACAGAGAATAAGAACACTTGCTGTGCACCCCGAGCAGGGCAAAGTGCCACGCACGCTCTGATCCTGGTCCTCGCGAACCTTCCAAAGCCCCTTCTTACTGTATCCCCTGTTTATCTTGCTCTTTTAACTGTTGCAAATTTAGGGGTTCAGAGACCTGATGAAAGGTCTTGGGGTGTAGCTTAATGGTAAAGTGCTTGCCTAGCATGTGTGAGGCCGTGGGTTCAATTCCCAACACCGCAAAAAAAAAAAAATAAAACAGAGATGTGATGAAACCTGCCCAAGGCCACACAGCTGGTAAGTGGTGAAGTGACCCTTAGCTCAGCCACATGGGCCTAGCATCTGAGACCAAGCCACCACACTTGAATGGATGAGCCAGGACCTGTCCTCGGCAGACCCCAGGCCTTGGCTGTTACTTGACTGGCCCCAGAGAAGTTAGGAGAAGGCCGGGGAAAGGAGTTCGGGGAGCCTGGGGCAGGGCTGTGCAGCTGGGGGTGTAGTGGTGAACAGTGGCCTGGCGGAGGGGCGCAAGGTATGGAGGAGGAGTGGGCGGTGGGCCCAGGCCCAGCAGGGTCTTCCTGATTGGGAATCTGAGCAGCAAAGAGCCCTGGACAGACTTCCAAGTTCCTCTGTCACCCCCATAGACAAGTCCCCCCCTTCCTTGTGACACCCCCGCTGCCGTGACGCTCTCCTGCCTTCAGCTCTTCACTAGGGCTGCCAGCGGGGGGCAGGTGGGACCCTCCTTAGCTGCTCTGGGTCCCTGGATCACAGTGCAGCACAACCCTCGGACTCAGCCCAGGGCCCAGCCCACCTGGCCCTGCCAGGCAGCAAGGGGAGGGGGCACCTCCTCCTGTCCCCAAGTGTGTCCCCCTCCTGCTCAGCTCCGATTTGCAGGAGGCGCAGGGCTGGCACATCCAGGGACAGTCAACAGTGACTCAGGGCAGCAGCTGCAGCCCCAGCGTGGTGACTAAGACTTGGGGCTCCCCCCTGGTAACGGACCCTGCACCCGAGTCTGCCAAGAAGGGCCTGTGTGTCTGCTGGCCTGAGTTGGAAGGGCCCCTCCTCCTTTCTGGAAGTTGGGGCTCTGTTGGCAGCAGCATCCAAGACCTGGGTTGGGGAGGCTTTCTCAGGGAGAGGGAGAAACGGGGACCGGGCTGCTGGGACATGCTTCCTGGTGATCAGGTCATGCACACGTCCAGCTGACACTTATAAAGAGGGGGGCATGTGTCAGGAGAGTGAGCCGGGGAGCCCACCTGCCTGAGTTTCAATTCTAACTCAGGCATCCACTAGCTGTGTCACTTTGGGCAAGTCACTTGACATCTCTGAACCTCACTTTCTCCACCGGTGAGATGGGCATAACAGGAAAGTATTCATTGCAAAGTGTTCTCAGCAGCATTTTCTGGCTGTTCTGAGTGACCTCTCAATCTTGCCTTCTGAGCAAGTGGCGGACAAGTCCCCAGCCCTCCTGGGGCTCACACAGCCAAACTGCAAATAAGAATCCAAATACAGAAACAAGATCCTCTCAATGGCCTGGTGAGTGCTGGGAAGGAAGGAGTTGAGGTTTATGACAGAGTGCAGAGGGGTGGGGGTGTCAGAGAAAACTTCTCTGAGCAGGTGACAGCTGAGAGACTCCCCCCCCCCCATGAGGAGGTAGCTGTGTGACAATCTGTGAACAGAGTACTCCAGGCAGGGGAACAGCGAGGGCAAAGGCCCTGAGGCAGGAATAAAGCCGCCAGGTGGGGACAGGAGACAGGCAAGCTCACTGGTTTGTCAAAGGACCTTGGCCTCTATCCTCACCCCCAATTATGACAAGAAGGTCTCCAGGCAGAGACAAATGTCCCCTGGGGGCAGGGCAAAATTGCTGCTGGCTGAAAACCACCGGGTGAAGGAGAATGTGGCCAGTAGCCCTCCAGGCCTCTGTCAGGAGCGGGTGTTGGGGGAGGTCCCAGTGGGCCCAGCCTTCCCCCGCAGCCATCACGGCCCCTTGGGGTCCCTAGGACCCTGCCTCCCCTCCTCTCCACGATCTGGCCTCCCACGGGGCCTTCCCTAGATGGCCCCCTGGCATGTGCAAGAGGCCCTCCAAAAATTGCCTTAGGGGAGGGTGGTCACAGAGCCACCGACCAGAAAAGCCAGCCTCGGAGAGCTGCCCTCGGCCCCCACTCAGGGGAGGGGGAGGGGAGCCCGGGACTGAACAGCCCCTTCCCCTCAGAGCGCTGGCGCGTCCTGCCCACCTCTGTTCTCTGGGTCCCTCCTGTCTTCCCACTGCCCACCCAGGCATGCGCCACCCCCCTGGCTGGCTGGCCGCCCTGTCCCCGGCTCCCCTCTCTGCCCGGGTCCCCCCTCCCTGGGCCAGGCTGTCTCTCCCCAGCGGCTCCAGTGGTTTGGACGCGCTCAGCGCCTCCTGCCCACATGACCTCACTTCCCACTTGCACACGCTCCCCGCACACACGGCCCGCGTATGTGAGCTCACACAAACACAGGGACACATGCACACGTGGACCAGATCTGCGCCCAGGGAGGCTCCCTCCATCGAGGAGGCCCTGTCCCCACCCCACCTGACCACTGCCCAGAAGCAGAGGACCCCTCGCCGTCCTCCTGCCTCCCGTCTCTCTCAGGGCAGAGGGGCTGACCTGGGCAGGAGCCCTGCCCCCTCTCTCCAGGTGGGCCCGCCACCTCCTCTGTCCCCCCCCCTCCTTCTGCAAAGGTGGCTAACCCCGGCTGGGAGCTGGAGACCCCTCGCCCTGGGAGACCTGGGTGCGTGCCTCGGTTTCCCCTGTGGACAGGAGTCTTGCCCTCAGTCTGGCCCAGGACAGCCACAGGGAATCTGCAAACAGCCCCCTGCCCTCCTCTGACCCCTGGGGCCCCCTGAGTCTGGGCCTGGGACCTCTGCAGTCAGCCCCCCACTGGCGGTCTGTCTCCAGGAGAGCTTCCCAGCAGACTTGGGGGGTCGGCAGGACGGGGAGCCGGCCCTCTGCCTTCTAATTTAGATTCCTGGGTTTATGGCAGGAAGCGCAGTGAGGCTGACACTGTAATTAAGGCGATTCCTGAGGCTTCAGGAGGAGGCGAGGAGAGCGCTGCCTGCCCCCGCCTCTCCCTACCTCTGCCAGAAGCCTCAACCTCAGAGCCCCAGCAGCTCCCCTGCCTCGCTCCCCAGCTCTGGAACTCCATTTTGCATCCCAAGAACTCAGAGATGGGCAACTGCATCCCCAGGGTCACACAGCACCGAGGGGGTACCCGCCTGAGCGGCCTCTTGGCCTCCCTCTGCCAGCTGTGGCCCAGCCCAGGGACAGGGGAGCCCCGACATGTGGCTCCTTTGTTCTCTCCTCCCTGGACCCCCATCTTCACTGAGTACCCCTCCCCCTGCATTCCTGAGGTGTCTGGGCAGAATCTGGCCAGGGATGTGGCAGGAGGGGCAGCTCCCACCCAGGGGTCAAGACCAGGGCAGCAGCCTGGGCATGAGCACCCGCCTGCGGCGGAGGCCTGGGGATGCGCTGGGGGCATGGTGGCCAGGAGATCCGGAGGCTCAGCCTCTCTGACTGTCCCTCCCATCCATGGGGCCCCAGGGGTGGAGCTTAAATTCCTGTTGTGCTCCTTGCTGTGTCCCCTGGGCCTCTCCTCTGGGCCTCAGTGTTAGCATCTGTGCAAAGGGAGCACCATCTGTGCAGAGACCGGGTCTCCTCCAGTCCCTGGCTGGGCTCAGGGGATGGTGAGACCCCCCCCCAGAGCTCTGGGTGACGTCACCAGCCCCACTCCACATTTTGTCCCTCCCTGCCAGGCTCTGTGGCCTTGGGCACCCCATCCTCTGGGCCTCTGCACGTTCCTTGGTAAGGATGAAGGGCCCAGTGGAGCGAGGGTCTCAGACCCTGGAATTTCACAACTGATACCAATCCAAATTATGCAGCAGGCCTGAGTGGGCTGTGACATTTTGCTTTGCCAAGTTGGGGCAAAGCAAAATGTCAAGCACAAAGACACAGGAGAAGCAGAGGTTGAGACGTCGCTGCACACCTAGGGCTCAGTGGCCTGTCCTTCACAGCTGGCTGGGGACACCTTTGTCCTAGACAGCTTTGGATTCTGCATGGATTGGGGCTACCACCTTGAGCTTGTGTCAGTCTGGGGGCGGGCGTGTGGGTATCCAGGTGGGGAGGAGGCACTGTGAGGGGCGAGGGTGGCACCCCGCCCAGTGAAGAGCCAGGCTGCGTCGTGGCCACAGCCTGAGTTCCTTGGAGAAAAGCCTGGGGTCCAGGTCCGGGGAGGAGATATGATCGAGGCAGGGGCAGGAGGGGTGCGCAGCATTCCTCTGACCAGGGAGAAAGGGGACTTTGTTGCCCGGAGCTGAGCCACCCCCGGCCTCCCTGTATGCCTGGGCACTCTGCCAGGGATGCAGAAACCCGCGATGGGTGCACCAGGCCTCTGTCGAAGCCTCTGCCTGCCCCGAGCTGGGTGTCCCCTGCCGGCCATGCTGCCCTCCAGCTGAGGGCCTAGATAGGGGCAGCAAAGGTACAGGTGGCAGCGGGGCGGGGCTCAGCCTGGAGCCCAGGGAGGGCGGGAGGTTGGGGTGGTGGTGCCCAGACTGAGGAAATACCCCGACAAGCTGGGGGCCAAGTCAGGGAGGGCAGGTGACAGCCCGGGGCTCCCACTTTCACGCTGCCTCTGTCAGCCTCGTGACAACCCTGGGGGAGGTCCACTGAGAAAGGGAAGCTCAGCCAAGGGACTTCCTCAGCCCTGACCCCAAAGCTCCAGCCTCCGCAAGTCCTGCCCCCTCCTCCCAGCTGTGGGGAGACTCAGGGACATCTGGGAGAAGAGCAGCTGCCCTTCTGTCCCCAAACTTGGGTATGTGAGTGCCCATCCACCAGGTCTGTACCCCCACGACTTTTCAGGCTTATAAGATCAAAGGGCGTAGCGCTCAGTAGGTGTCTAATAAGTGCTCATTAGTACCCTGGGTGACCAGGCAAGCCCCTCTGTGCCTGTCCCTGTATGTGCCCTCAGCTGGCCCCCCAGGCCATCCTTTGGGCACCTTTGCCTTCTCTGCCTGGCTTCCAGTGACATTTTGTCTCCTCCTGAATGACCCTGGGAGTCCCCTGGGGTAGCCTCCTCATCCTACAGGGGACGTGGGGGACCCGGTGCAGGCTCTGCTGGCAGCCTCCTCCTCAGGCCTAGGGTGACTGGCATGGAAGGCAGCTCAGCCGGGGAGTTCTTTATCTCTGTTGTCCCCTCACGTGGGAAGAGGGCTGGGGACTGGAGATGGCCCCTGGTGGTGGCAGCAGGGCCTCACTCTGACCTGGAGGCCCCGCTGGGGGGCCTGCCAGCTCTGGAATGCACAACCTCTGCCATCCCCTCCCTCAGACACGGTTAAGACCCCAGCCCCTGCCTTTGTCGCAGCCTGGCTGGCTTAATAGGATTGGGCGGGGGCAGAGCGGGCCTCTGGTAGGGGGCCCCCCTGCGCAGCCACAATGGGGCCCTGTGACATCATGCTGCCCCCCACTGTGATGTCAGGGGCTGTCACAATGGACATTCCCCAACGCCCAGCCTGGGGGCGGGACAGAGGGCTGGGATGGGGTCGTGGGGGCGTGGCCGGGACACCTGCATGCTTGGTGGCTCAGGCCTGGGAGTGGCCCTGAAGGACAGGCTGGGCAGAGGCTGCAGCCCCACAGAGGCGGGAAGAGAAAGCCACTTTCACTTAGAGGGCAGTGGGGACAGGCAGACAGCTTGGGTATGGGGTCTGGTAGCAGAGATTTCTGGAAAGGTCTCAGAGGACAAGGGGTCCCAGGGGTTCTGCAGGTGGCTGTGGTTTCCACAGGTGGGAACAGGAGAGGGGGGCCTGGGAGGGCCGGGGATGGAGAACAGGGGGGAGGGAGGGGCGGGCGGGGTATGGGGTAAAATCGAGGGGACGGCCCCTGTGGATGCAGAGGAGGCCTGTCCCAGGGCTGCGACCACCTGAGCCCAGACGCTGCGGTTGCTCAGATGCCCCTGGGCCCCCAGCCCTGGGGGAAGGCCGGCCCCTCACCCAGCCGTCCCCAGGCTGCCTGGCGCTGCCAGACCAGTGTGGAAACTGTGCCGTCCGTCCCGGCTCCCGCTGGGGAATGTGATGAGGCTGCTGGAATGGGCCCGGCGAGGGCGAGGGGCCGTCCTGGGCCGGCTTCCCAGCAGCCCGGCCAGCTCCGCCGCGGAGGCTGGCTCATGGGGTGTGGAGGGGAGAGCCAGACCCAGATGGCGGGAGTGGGCCCGCTGCCCCAGAGAGGACGCCAGGGTGGGAGCCGGCAGCGGGTGGTTATCCCAGCCAGGAGGGACTCCTCCAGGCCTCCATGTTACAGAAGGACCCGCTGAGACCACAGCGGCCTGGGCACATGCAGGGCCCCAGAGCCAGGGACAGAGGACGCCCATAGAATCGGAGCCGGGTGTGGTGGCGCACCCCTGGAATCCCAGCTGTGGGGAGGCCGAGGCAGGAGAACCGCAGGTTTGAAGCCAGCCTCAGCAGTTTAGTGCGATGCAGTCTTAAAATGCAAAAAAAAAAAAAAAAAAAATATATATATATATATATATATATATATAAAATAAGAAGTTCTGGCAGGGCAGTGCTCCTGGGTTCAAACCTCAGGACCTGCCCCCACCACACACACACACACACACAAAAACAACTGTCTTTTTCAGCCTCAGGCTCTTTCCACTGGATCTTAAACCCCCAAGGCTTCTAATTGCCCCTTCTTGTTAGGCGGTGAGATGAGCTGGTCCTTGTCTGATGACTGTAACCTTGCTGAGCTTCAGTGTTCCCATCTAATAATGGGAATAAATCCATGCCTTGCAGGGCTACAAACCTTCAATAAGACAACATGAAGCCAGGCACCATGGTGCACACCGATAAGCCCAGAGGCTTGGGAGGCTGAGGCTGAAGGACTGCAAGGTTAAGGCCAGCCTCAGCAACTCAGTGAGACCCTGACTCTAAATAAAATATATAAAAAGGGCTGGGGATGAGGCTCAGGGTTAAGTGCCCCTGGGTTCAAACCCTGGTACCAAAAAAACAAGAGTCTCAGGCCTGGCTCAGTGACTGGCACATAGTAGGTGCTCAGAAATGTTTGATGGCTTCTCTGTTTCTGTGGTTCCAGTCAGCCAGCAGGAGCTGAGCCACCTGCCCCACAGGTAGTCCCGCCCCAAACCTGGTCGGACATGGAATAATCTTCCCTGGGGCACCACCAGGATTTCAGGTCAAGCCTAGCCAGTCCTTCTCCCTTTTTATCTATCTGTTTATTGAGCAAATATTTATTGCGGGGCCAACTGTATCGGGGAACGAGTGATCAGTGTCATGCGCAGCCTGGGTGCAGCCCAGAGGTCCGAGCTGCAGATCCAAGCGCTTTCCAAGTAGGTGCTCCTCAGGCTCCTGTTTATGGCTCACGGGGCCCATCCTAGATCCTGGGCCACAGCCAGGGCTGGGGGGTGTGAGTGGGGAGGAAGGGCAGAGAGCAGGCCGGTTCCTCTAGGATTTGCTAATTAATTGGGTAGTCGAAGGCCGGTTCCGGGCGAAACTGTTTTGACTTGTACCCAGATGGGAGGCTGGAGGGAGGGACGAGTCCCCTCCCAGAGCTCTCTAATTGCTGCCTTTGTCTCTGTCAGGGTTTTGCTGGGCCCTGACTGCAAGGCCCTGCAGCTCAGAGCCCAGGAGGGCAGCAGGCTGCAGGCCCACGTCCCAGCCGGGAAGACCGAGGCGGCTGGTGGCAGGGCTGGTGGTCTAGAGCCAGTGTGGAGGCAGACGGGGGCTGTCCCGGTCACCTCCCAGGTGTGAAGGGGAGGCTGGGGCCTACCCATAGACCTGGAATCAGGCAGGGCCAACCTCCTCCTGACATTCCCCGTCCCCTCATCTGACAGCCTCCCACTTGGTCTGGGACGGAACTTCCTCGAAGAAGCTGCCTGGACCCTCCAGATTGGGTCAGGTGCACCCCCCAGTTTCTGTTCCACCGGCTCCTCTTCTGCCTCCGTGGCCCCCACTGGACTCATGTGGACAGAGAGCGGCTTCATGTGACTCTGTGGCTCACTGCCTGGCCTGGCACAGAGCAGGAGGTGACCAGAGGGAAGGAACAGAGGGACAGACACTCCGGGTGTCTGGGGTCTGTGGCAGTGTGGCCTCAGTGTCCCCAGAACTAGTGATTCCCATACCTCCGCTAGCGAGGCACCCATGACAGGAGGGAGGGCAGTGTCCGGTCCTGGGTGCCGAGGGAGGCCGGCGGCCAGCTGTGCAGCCAGGCCTCTGTGGCGCGGGGCGAAGGGCTGGATCAGCACCGCCAGGGCTTGACTTGGGCTCCCTCCTGCTGCCCATGGGCTGGTGGCCCTGGCAAGCTCAGCCAGCCGCTGCAGCCCTGGAGGGTCATGAAAGGATCTAGGCCAAGCCCTTGGGTGCAGTGTCGGGCCCAGCTGACCTGGGCAGGTGCTTGCTGATGTGCCCGATCTTGCCCCGGGCACAGGCTCCTTCTGCCCTCGGTGGCTTGTTTGCTTTTTCACTCGTGACGGGAACTTGGATCACTTGGTCACGAGCTGCTGGCTGGGTTTCGCTGCTGTGAAGTTACTTTTTCCATTTTTTAAAAAAATTTTAGCCCTTGCTGTACTTCCAGACTTGCAGTCCTGGGGACTGAGCCATGGAACCCGGGGCGCCCCACCACTGAGCTGCATCCTCAGCCCATCCTTGTTTCTATTTGGAGACAGGCTCTGGAACTTGCTCCAGCCTCAGTCTCCCAGGTCCTTGGGCGTGCTTCGCCCCGGGCTCGGCCATCTCTCCCAGGGGGCCTGGTTCCGTCTGTTGGAGAAGCGTGTGGAGGAGCCCAGGTCTGGGGCTGGGTGTGCATGTTATTAGAGGGGTGTCACTGCATTCCGGCCTTCTAGGGGACACAGCTTAGTTTGCTTCAATTTAAAAATTAAAAGTTTCCCTTTTAGCCAGTTGTGGGGTCTCTGGGGAACTAGAGAGAGCTGCCTTTGAGTCCAGGGTCCGTCTGTGGCCTCTAGGCTTGTGCGGGCTCCCAGGCCCCGCGGAGGGCCTCAGGTCCAGCAGGGCTGTGAGGGAGCGGGAGGGAGCACGGGACTCGCCAGGTCCAGCCCTTCCTCGACCGTGCCTGCTCACCAGTGGGGATGAGCTCAGCGGCCTGGTGGCTTCAGGAACGGGCTGACCCCCTGCTGGACCAACAGCTCTGTGGCCCTTGTCCAGCCAGAGGTACAGTGGCCACCTGAACCAGGCCAGGCAAGGGTGAGGCCCCAGGAAGTTCTGCTGAGCACCATGCCAGCCCACCTGGTGGCCCAGCACTAGTGAGAGGGGAGGAAGGCCAGCTGCCCTGACCTCTCTCACCCTGCCCAGCCCCAGCCACACCCGACCCAGGAAAGTCTCACCCAGCAGGGAGCTGGGCAGTGCAGGCCTTGCCACGCCAGGGCAAGCAGCATCTGTCCTGTCCCCCACGACTCCAGGCTGAGTCGATGCTGCCTCTACCAGGGACGGGAATCCTGCCACGTGCTGCTTAAAGGCTGCAATGGCTCCCTATTACCCTCAAGCAAAATCCCACTCCTGGACCTGCCCTGCAAGACCTTGGCGAATTCGGCAGAACCCGTGTCACGACTTCAGAACGCCAGGCTGCCGGCAGGTCCCTTGCACAACCCTGGCTGCACGCCCCGCACCTGCCCTGCCAGCCTCGCCCCTCCCACGGCCTCGCTGGCCGATCCCTCCCAGTCCCTCAGCCTCAGCCCTGGGGCTGCCTCCTTCGGGAAGCCTTCCTCCAGATCGTCTCCGTGCGCCTGGCCCTTCCCTGGTGGCCTGTGTTCAACACCTTCCCGAGCTCTGCTTCCCACAGCCTCTGACCCGCAGGGCAGCAGCCGGGTGCAGCGGGGAGAGGTTGGGACTGGGATTGGGGGATTGAGGTGCCCTCTTCACACGGCCAGGGCTGACCCCCATCTCCCAAGGTGGCTCTAGTGGGTGGGAGAAGGCAAGGGGGAGGTCAGTTTGGAAAGTCCAAAGACTCTGCTGTGTCTTCTGCAGGGGACGAGGCCCCGGCCAGCATCCCTTGGTCCCCTCTGTGAGAAAAGCATCTCAGTGGGATTCCCAGCTCTGCTTGCCATCTGGCCTCTGCCCCTCACTTGCTGTGTGGCCTTGGGGCAAGCCTGTTCACTGGGCTCGGCCTCAGTTTGCCTCTCCTGTAGAATGGGGCCACCCACAAAACCCGTCACAGGTCGCTGAAGCTCCGACAAGACAAAACCTGTGAAAAACTTCTGTAAACCTCTGAGCGCCGCTGAAGAATCTCTTCCAACAACTCCGTGGAGCCGTGTGGGAGGGAGGCCGGCAGCTGCCCCCACTGCGCGCCTGCCTAGTGCCTGCCTGGCCCGGCCAAAGCCTGGAGATCAAAGGTGACTGAGGCCTGCTGGCATGGAGGCCGGGCTTGGCAGGGCCTGCTCCCTGGCCCCCTGCCCACCTCCCACCCACCCCCGTTCCCAGTGACACGACATGCCTGCCTTACACAAGAAGCTCTGTCTAAACACCCGGGGTTAGTGGGGAGCCCTTGCCCGACACCCCACACAGGAGGCCTCTGGATCCCCAGCCCGCTCCCAAGGCCGAGAGCCAAGATCAGTTTGAACATCTGCAACTTTATTCCAGAGCAGAAATAAGTCATTTTCTAACAATAAATATAAAAAAAATAATAAATTAAGGTTTCAAAAAATATCCAACAAAACAAGGTCATTAACACTGACAATGTGGGAATGTCGTCTAGAGGGCGGGAGACGGGGTGGACGGGCGGCCGGCAGGAACCTCCTGCAGCATGGGCGCCCGCCGCGTCCACCAGGCCCGCTCTGCCCCCAGCCCTGCAGGGCCCCTGCCACACGCGCACTCTCTCCGTGAAGTACAAAATATAGATTTAAAAAACCTCAACACAACCAAGCGTCCCGAAAGGGCCCAGGAGAGCAAGAGATTGGCCTGTTAGGGCTGAGGACAGGGCCTGGGGTCTGCAGAAGGCCCGAGGGACGGAGCACCACTGTGGCTCTCACCCAGCCAAGTTCAAGGTCTGCCCTTGTACAGAGAGGGGAGGGAGGCGGCCACCTGTTCACGTGGCCAGGGCTGACCCCCATCTCCCAAGGTGGCTTCTACCAGGTGGGAGGAGGCAAAGTGGGGGTCAGTTTGGAATGTCCCTCGTGGATGTCCGAGGTCTCGGTGGGGCTTGCCCGGGGGCATGCTGGGAACTTGATGGTGCCTGCTAAGTGCTGGGCCGTGTCCCTCACTGGGGACGAGGCTGCAGCCAGCATCCCCGAGGGTCTCATCAGTTCAGGGCAGGATGTCCTCCATGACCCCCCAGCAGAGTCCTCAGGGGGGCATCAATAAGAACAACTAGAAATAAATAAGGTCCCTGGTGGTCAACTGCAGAGCCGGCAGGGGGGCCATTTGGATCCTTCAAGTACTCTCGGCCGAGGGTGCACCAGGCCGCGGCTCAGATGGGGATCCCCACGGCGTTCACCTGGTCCTTGAGTCCCAGTAGGCTGTAGGCAATGCGTTTCTGGTGGCCAGGCAGCCGCACCCCGATCCTCTTAATGTCTCTGCGGGCAGGCGGGGAGAGGGAGAGGGAGAGTTAGGGGCCAGAGCTGCGGAGGGAGGTGGACGGGGCAGGGAGGGTAGGGGAAACAAGGAGGAGAACCAGGGGACCTGTGGGCGACAGAGTTCCCGTCAGGGAGGCCCGAGGAGATCCTGAGAGGATCTAAGATGGCCTATCATCATCAAAGTTAGGAAAATGACTGAAGTGCCCACTCTGCGTGTTTTTAATCTAATCAAACTTCACAATTATCTCTGAGGTAGGTGCTCGTTTTAGCTCCCTATTGCCGATTTAGGAATTGAAGCTCAGAGAAGTGGAGTGACTTGCCCAAGGTCACACAGCTCTCTAGTGATAAAGAGCTGGGTATTAACCAGTGGGGAGCCGAGGCCCCTTCTCCAGGTGGCAGGAGGCCACTGCCAGGTGACTGGTTTCCAGGGACCCTCGAAGGCCATTGCACAAAGCCCTCCTCCGCTCAAGGTCTCTTCCTATCTGTCCATCGCCTCATTTCAAGTTCCCCGCAGGCAGCTGAGGAAGGGCTCAGGATATACTTGCTGAAGGACCATCAGCATTAAAGCTCTGACGGGCAGAGTGACCATGTCGCCTGAGGCCGGTGTCTTCCCTGGTGAGCACCCTGATTCCCTCCCCTGTGAAAGGGGATGGCAGTGCCCGATGGCAGGCGGGAGACCCCAGGGACAGCAGAGGGCGCAGCTTCAGTGCCAGGTGGGAAGCTGTTCCCAGGAGTGCCGGCCTCCCCTCCCACCCGAGAGAGGTGCAGGCTCCTGCCTCTCCCCGGTCACGCCCGCCGTCCCCTTGTAAAACCACTTAGGCTCCCAGCAACCCGCAACAGGACGTTTATTGCCAACTTTGGGAGTTTTCTCCCCTGCTCTCCTCACCCGCCAGCCCAAACCCATGAAAACACCCAGGTTTTTACAGCCGTCTCTTGGCTGTAAAGGAAGCTAATTATATGGTGCAAGCTCCTATTTGCAATTCCGGAGACATGACTTTCCCACAGGCTCCCCTCTGAGAAGTGCTGAGCAGGGAAGGGCAGACCCAGGTGAGGGAGGTGGCTGCTCATGCTGCAGCAAGAAAGCCAGAAGTTAGATTTTAAGGACAACTTCCAAACCTACCACCTGAATGACACTTTAAACCTACATAGCTAGGAGCACTTTCCCACCCCTAGAGGTGTTATAGTGTGGATGCTGGAAAAGCACTTATTGAGAACACCTGGGGAGGTGGCATCCCCAGAAAAGTCAGGATCCTGGGTAGCTAAAGTGCTGAAGTCTGCATGTGGGTCCCAGACGACACTCAATCTAAGAACCACCAGAATCTGTGAGCTCCTAGACACGTACGGAGGCTGGCACTGCCCCTCCAGGGGTCCTGGCACATGCCAGGTCCTCAGGGAGGACCTGCTGAGCACAGAATGAGCAGATGAGTGCTTTTTGTGAGGATGGAGTCACTGCCCAGCCCATCTCGGGCTCCTCTCCTCCATCAGAGCAGCGCAGGCTCATCTCCCGGGGGCTGAGTGGTCTCTGACCCCATTTGGGAGGCAGAAGCCCCGGGTGGGTCTGTCCTGGGTCTTTACATGTAAAAAGGGAGGGTCAGCAAGCCTCTCCTGAGAGCAGCCCAGCCCCTCCTCCTTCCTTTCCTAACCGCGAACAGAGCAAAGCACTGGGACCAGCTAGTGACCCACGGCAGACGCCCCGAGCCTGTCCTGCCAGCGGGGGTCCCCGATGCTGGGCAGCCCTCCACCAGCTTCCTGAACGGAGCAAGGTGACACCTCGCTGGGCCACCTCCTGCCAACTCTGGCCAGGAAACTCCCAGGACACCTACCCAATGCACATCTATGGCATGTGGCTCTGAGTCTAGGAGGGGGACACGAGGAATGGCCCCCGGCGCCTGCAAGTCACTCAACCACTCTCCCTGTGCTGTTCCTCCTGCAGAGCCTGTCCCGGGGCTGTGGCCTGTGGCCCGGCCACACACAGGGCACTGCTCACTGTCGCCTTGACATTGGGCAGGACCTGCTGTCAGGCTGGGCAATTTGGGGGCGTGTATGACACCCACCTGTCCCATCACTCCTCGTCTAGCCAGACACTCGGGCAGGAGCGAGCAGCAGGCCCCAGGGAGGGGCCGAGGGAGCAGAGAGGCGGGGGCCAGGGACAGGAAGCCAAAGCGCGAGCCCACCAGGCCAGGGCCCCGTGCCCCTGCCACCAGCTCCCGTGAGGTCTACGCCGTGGACACAACACACTGCAGATTTGTAAAATTGTGTTGAGATCCCCATCTCCTTGGGGAGTCTGTGCGGCTGTGAGTCCCGCGGGCCCAGTACCCCGGCAGGCTGGCGGGAGGACGGGGTGCCGGCTGAGTCCCTGCTTTATCCAGGTCCTTGCAAACCACACACACACGTGAGCACACGGCCTCTGTCCATCCCAGAGAGCCCTGTCCCTGCTCGTGGGAAAGGAATTGGCCAGGAGCACCCCAGGCTATTTCGGGACGTTTCTAAGAACATGTGTTTCCTGTAAGGACTTCTCGCCCTCCGCTCTGGTCACCAGGAGAGAAGCTGTGCTGTCCTCCAGGGGGACCCCTGGAGGGGCCAAGGGGCCTGGCCCAGGTTCCCAGGGAGGAGAGAGCTCGGGAACCTGGGTATTTATTTGACCATGGTCTACAGGCAGAAAGCCAGGGAGACGTGGACAAGGAGACCCCAGCTAAGCCCTCACTAGGTGCTGGGCATGTCCACCCACCTCAGACCCATGCAGGCCCCACAGCAGGAAATGGCCACCCAGGTCAAAGTGGACTTAATAGGATCAAGGTGATTAGGAAGAGGGAGAGATGGGACTTGAACCCAGGGGTGACCACAGAGCCCAAGTATGTGCCTGCCCTTGGCTGGCAGTGAGAGAGACCCAGGGACCTGTGTCTCCTTCCCATGTCTCTGCACCTCCCTCTGGTTAGCTCTGTCCCTGCCTGATTCCCACTGCAGGACGTCCCCCTGGGGCAGGACACAGCCAGCAGGCTGGAAGCCCCACTGAGCAGCTTCCAGAAGCCCTAGAGAATATTCATGCAGAGACCCAAGTCCCAGGACTTCTGTGATCCAGAACTGTGGGAGGCCAGGTCATCCCCTCCAAGTGGTTCCCAAAACCTCCCGGGCCAGGGTCTGTTCTTGATGAGACCTTGGACGCTGCACAATCAGAGCTGTTGGGAGCCACTACTATTTTTAGAGGCACAGAAGGCTAAGAGCATAATGTCCTCTCCCTGCGGGGACCGGAAGAGGTGGCCCTGCCAAGGCTGTGCTGGGAAGTCATGGTGCTGGAGTGCAGGGGGCAGGAGAGTCCGGAGGGGCAGCCAGACAGAGGGCAGACCCAGGACTGGCAAGCCGCTGCGGGGCTGAGAGCCACCACATGGGGACAGTGCCCGGGAGCCGCTGGCAGGAACTTTCTCTTGCACCTGTCTCTTCTGTCTGGCGGAGACGTGGAGAGGCCCTACTGCCTCGTCCTAGTAAGGACTGGGTCCAACGGCTCCATCCCAGAGCTGGCCTGCAGTCAGCCCGCGCTGGTGGCTATGCTATTGTGACATTAACTGTTATTTTCCCTTTCTGGAGAAAGAGGCAGGAAGGGTGGGCGTGGAGGGTGGACCCCAGAACCAGCGGCAGCCAGCCTGTTCTGCGCTTCCTGCCCAGCCCCTCCCCCCCAGGGAGAGACGGAAGCAGCAAGGGAGGCGGGCGGGAGGGTGAGGATGTGGGTAGGGTGTCCGGGCAGCCTCCAGGAGGGAGGCGGGGCCGTGGGTGCTACTCACTCGCTGGTCATCTGTACCACCTTCTCGATGGCATTGTAGCCAGCTGCCATGAAGTGCTCTGTGTACTGCTGCATCTTGATGGACTCCAGCCACTCGGACACCGTGCGGAAGGGCACCCCCTCTGAGCCGCTGGTGCTGGGCAGACGGATGGACACCCTGGAAGGGGAACCGCCCGCGTGCAGGTGAGAGGCTGCAGCACCCAGCCTGTCCCAGGCCCCAGCCCTGCTGCCCCCTAATCTGGGCAGCTCACACAGCTGCCTGAGCAGGTTTCCTCATCTGGGCAGGAGGGAAGCCCAGCCAGTCTGGGTTCTAGGAGACGGTGGCACATCGGTAGCGGTCGGTCCACAGCTGTCTCTACTGTGGTGCCCCTGATCCTACCAACAAGACCACCATCAGGAGCCCCAAATCACAGATCGTAAGGGGCAGAGATTCAGGGTCCTGGAGTCACAACCCCAGCCTGGCCACTTGCCAGCCACAAAAGATATTTAATCGCTGTCTCAGTTTCCTCATCTACACAAAGGGGATCATTACAGGACCCTGTCCCCAGGAGGTGAAGCATGCTGGGCGCTGAGGGGTGCACACGGCATCAAGGAGGCTGGTACTCACCAGAGACAACCCCGTCTAGCCCAAGGGAAGCCCAAGCGTACCTCCTGAGCCCTCCTTGCTGCCCCTGACTCCCCCCAGCTGCCCACTACACCCAAGTGGCTCAGGAGTCCCCAGGAGTGAAGTTGGGGGTCACCACGGGCAAAGGGCATGGGACTCACCGGGGGTCGAAGTCAGCCAGGGTCTTGAGGGAGTCAGGGGCGCGGATGAGCTTGTCGAGGATGCTGACAATGTCGGCGAACTTGGGGCGCCGGGCACGGTCCTGCTGCCAGCACTGCATCATGAGCTGATAGATGGCTGAGGGGCAATCCATGGGTGTGGGCAGCCGGAAGCCATCGTTGATGGCTTTCATCACCTGGGTGGCAAACGAGGGTCAGGGTGGCCATGGCAGGAAGCCACCGCAGCCTGGGGCACAGACCCCCTGCCCCCGTCCCCGGCACAGAGATAGGAAGGGACGGGCCAGGCAGAGGGGCTGGCTCCTGGAGGAAGGAACCGCAGATCCGGCTCCCCAGCAAGGTCCCGTAGGGCAGCCACACTGTGGCCTCTGCGGCCCAGCCTCCCTCTGGACTTCCCTTGGCGGGGGTGCTGCTCCTCATCATGCCTGGGTCAGAAACCAGGCACCGGGACACACACACACGCAAACACACGTGCACCCTCTCACACACACACACGTGTGCACACACCCCCACTTCCTGCTTCCTCGGCTCTGTACCCACTGGACTGTAGGCAGGGACCAGGGCCTGGCGCCCAGCATGAGCCCTGGCACAGCCCCAGCCTCCCTCCTCTGCCTGGGCCCTAGGATTTGGGAACATCCAGAGGGTTGGGGTCCATTCAGCCTGGGAAGGGCCCCCACCTCGTGGTTGGACAGCTCCCAGTAGGGCCGCTCGCCGTAGGCCATGACCTCCCACATGACAATGCCGTAGCTCCACACGTCGCTGGCCGAGGTGAACTTGCGGTAGGAGATGGCCTCAGGGGCCGTCCACCGGATCGGGATCTTGCCGCCCTGCAGAGGACAGGCCCAGTCACCGCTGTCCCTCTGGCCAGGCCTCTGGGGCAGCATGAAGGCTGCTTCACCCCCGCCCCCCCAGCCCCCACAGTGACGGCCCCTCTCCCAGCTCACACTGGTGGTGTAGGTGGCCTCGGGGTCGTCCTCCAGCACGCGGGACAGGCCGAAGTCGGACACCTTGCAGACCAGGTTGCTGTTGACCAGGATGTTGCGGGCGGCCAGGTCGCGGTGGACGTAGTTCATGTTGGCCAGGTACTTCATGCCCGATGCGATGCCCCGCAGCATGCCCACCAGCTGCAGCACGCTGAACTCGCCGTCCTTCTCCTGCCCAGGCACAGGCCCTCAGCTCCCATGTGGCCCTGAGCCACCAGGGCACCCCCCGCACCCCGGCTCAGCATCCTCGCCCGCCACTGCCCACGTCCTTACCCGGAGGAACTTGTCAAGGGCCCCGTTCTCCATGTACTCCGTGATGATCATCATGGGTTTGTCTGCGGGGTGTGGGCACAGGGGTGAGAGGCAGGTAGGCCAGATGTGTGGGCCAGGTGGGCACGGCTAGGGTCAGGTGGCCCTGAGGCAGTCCCTCTGCCCCCACCCTGTGTCAGGCCCCTAGGGTCCCCCAAGTCTCACATTTAGAGACCACGCCCTCCAGACGGATGATGTTGTGGTGGCTGAACTGGCCCATGATGCTGGCCTCGCTCAGGAAGTCCACGCGCTGCTTCTCTGTGTAGCCTGCCTTCAGGGTCTTGATGGCCACGGGCACCTCTTTCTTCCCCGAGGACGCCTTCAGGGTCCCCTTGTACACCTCCCCAAACTCTCCTGTGGGTGGGCAAGGTAGGGGACCTCCTGGTCAGCCTGGGCGCCAAATGGCCCCACCCGAATCACCCATTGCCCGCCTCCCCTGGTGACAGGTGTGCCAGCTGACCTGCTCCGATCACCTTCTGCCGGGTGACACAGGACGGGTGGATCTCGGTGGTGAACTTGAGCACAGCCTGATTGGGGTCTTCATATGTGTGAGGGTCCACGTACGTCTTCAGGGGCTTCAGCTGTTCTGGAAGGGGAGAGAAGGGGCGGGGTCACAGAACGCCCGGGAGGCCAAGTCCCTAAAGGAGAAGGGAGAAGCCACGTGACCAGGGACCTGGGGGACAGGCCTTCTGGAAGAGGCCTGAGAGCTGCCGGATGATGCCTCTGTGCCCACCCAGAGCCCTGGGACGTTCTGGCTGCCCTCAGCTCTGCACAGAGCTGAGGGGGTGTCCTGGGGAGGGGACAGGCCGGCACGGGGTGGGCTGCATCTCACCTGACTTGGAGAAGTAGACGTCCTCTGAGGACTGGCGAGCGCGCAGACTCCTCCTCCTGAAAGAACCCACAGGGACCCAGATACACAAGGTCAGAGAGGCCTGCCCGGGCCGGGGGAGCCCCCTGCGGGCACTGGGCGTGGGGAACCGGAGGAAATGAGCCAGTCGGGACTCACACTTTGGGATCCACGCCCCATAATGGCCCCATAAGTGGCCATAACAAGGGCTTCTCTCATCAGGGCTGCCAGGCCTCCTGCAGGGCGGCTACCCACCATGTCCTGAGCCCCTGTGGTGCCAGGCACCTGCCTGGCGTGTCTGGCTCGGCACACCTTCACGTCACCCAGGAGCTGGGGACTGCAAGGCACTGGACTAGATTAGCCTCAGCCCCACTCCTCAGAGGAGGAAACTGAGGTTCCTGCCCTGAATCCTCCCCCAGCCTTCGGGGACCTGGGTGTGGGCTCTGACCAACCTGCGGTGGATGAAGAAGCCGATTCCTGCCAGCACCAGAAGCAAGAAGACGCCAACAGCCACACCGCTGATCACTGCCATGTTGCTAGAACCTTCTGTGGCTGCAGGAAAGACCAGCTGATGACAGGGGGCCCCCCCACCCAAATCATGCAAACTCCCCTGCTGCACCCAAGACCACCGCAGGCACCTAGGACACCCGGGGTCTCTATGTGCTGGCCGCAAGAGTAATCCTGAGGCCCTTGAGGACATGTTCTTCCCTCCCATGGACAGCCAGCTCGGGGCCTCCCCGGGGCCTCATGGCAGGGACTCCCCTGCATGGGGACTCAGCTCTGGCTCCGTCCGTGGTGCACAATCTGAACTCAGGTCTCCAACGCCAGAGCCCACAGCCTGAATGCACCTCCCTGGTCCTCTACGCCCCAACCTCAATTTTGCCCTCTCCCACCGGGAGACAGCCCATGCAGGGCTGTCCCAGGCTCCAGCTGACCAGGAGACACGAGTTTCTCGCCTCTTGGATCCACCCCCACCCCATGTCCCGATGGCTCGGTTTCAGAGCCTTAGTCTGGCATGTGCCTGGGGCCCCCGACTCACACAGCGTCTGGAACTCATGCACCTTGCTACCAGCACCCTGGCCCTCCTGCGTCAGCGCCTGCACCTGGACCAGGTAGATGGTGTCAGGAACCAGGTCATCCAGGGTCACAGAGAAGCCCTCAGTGCGGCGCACGTTGTAGCTGTTGGAGTCCCCCTGTGGGTGGCAGGGAGCAGGCAATGAGGCCACTGCAGGACCTCTGCTCAGCACCCCGAGACACCGTCCAGCCGGCTGATCCTGGAGGCCTTCCCTCCCTGACCGCTGCTTCCAGGATCTAGAGCACGTCTACACATCTCTGCTGAGCCGCCCTGGGAGACCCCAGACCTGCTTCCCAGCTGCAGAGGGGAGTCCCTCCAGATGGTGTGGGTGTGGACATCTACGTGACCAGCCCACCCCGTCCTAGCGCGGACCCTCAGTGGGTTACCTTCTTGCGGTAGGTGACCTCGTACTTCCACACTCGGCTCTGCTGTGGCGGGGGGATGCTCCAGGTGACGCTGAGTGACGTGGTGCTGCGGCCCTCCAGCCTCACCTTGGGGGGCTCTGGGCAGGCAGAGAGTGGGGAAGGGTGTGAGGAGCCACCGGGGGACAGGGGACAGAGAACCAGCGGGCCCAGGACCAGGTGCCCCCAAAGCCCAGGCTCCCAGACCCCCAGGCCCCACCCCAGGGGCTGGCACAGAAGTGCCCTCTGAGTATTTAGTACACAAATAATAAAAATTAAATAATTGTTGTGAACCAAGCTCTGCTCTAAGACTCTTAAAGATAATAGTTTGTTCAATCTTTTCAATCGTCATTATCATACCCAATTCACACATGAGAAAACTGAGGCCCAGAGAGGCTAAGTAACTTGCCCACGGTCACAGAGCTTGGAAGTGGCTCCAGAGACAGTGTTTTCAACTTCTTGTTCTGCTGCCTATCTCTGGAACGCAGCTGAGCCCTGGGTGGCTGTCCTCTGCCACCTGGGCAGGCTCCCCCAGGGCACAGCCACCACCCCTGGGACTCACCTGTCTGGTTGATGCTGACACTGGCCGTGCGGAAGCTGCGGCTGGTCACAAGGTCCGAGACACCATTGCGGGCCTCGACGGCAAAGGTGTAGTTCATGTGGGGCTCCAGGTCGCTGACCGTCACACTGGTCCGCGTCAGCGCGTGGGGGGGCTCTGAGTAGCGCACGCTGGCCTCGCAGGGCCCGCACTGGCCGGTCTCTGGCCAGCACTGTTCACAGGTGACACTGTAGACAATGTCGTCGCGGCCCCCGCTGTCCTGGGGTGGTGTCCACCGCAGCTCCACGTTGGCGCCCATGCCCACGGCTGTGAGGTAGTGGGGGGCGGAGGGCGGGCCTGCGGAGGGGGCAGCTGACATCAGCCCCGGTCATCCCGGCCCGCCCGCCCTCCCCGGCCGGCAGAAGGACTCACGTGTGCAGGGCATGGACAGCGGGTCCTCGGGCGCCCGGAAGTAGCCCTCCTCACACTCGCAGGAGCTGGCACCTTCGGGGGACGGCAGCGTGTGTGCCGGGCACGGCAAGCAGGGTCTCTCGGAGGCTTCGGGCTTGAAGAATCCCGGTGAACAGGCTGATGGCACAGGGACAGAGGGCACAAGGACATCAGCCGGAGGTGTCCCTCCCCATGGGTCCCCCTCCACCCCTCCTCCGTGGACCTGTTTTCTCAAAATGTCTTTGGATGAGAAGAAATGTGCCAGCACCCGGCGCAGGGGACACTAGCAGGATCCTGGCCTGTGTCCCCAAACCTTGGCACAGTCCCCACCAACTCAGGAGGTGCCACACCCTGTGCTGGCATCCAAGGTCCATGGAGGCGCCCTAAGAACCCTGCCACGTGCTGGCTCAGCACCTCGCAGCACACTGCCCGCCCGCCTCGTCACCCCTGATAGGCACAACCAGACGGTCACCGCCCGCCGGCCACCAGGCAGCTCCGAGCTGACCAGGGAAGCAACTGCATCCGCTTCTCTATCGTGTCAGTTGACGGACCGTGACCCCCACCCCCCTGACCAGCCGGCCTCCACGGCTCAGGATGCCACTCCTCAGGGGCTCCCCTGACCCAGGGCCCGGCCACCTTGCCCGTTCCGGGGCGGCCCACCAGGAAGCAGGGAGGCCAGCCCCTCGCGTTTCCCTGGACCTGTTTCCAGGGCCGAGTCATTTCCACCGCTCACAGGGCAGCCAGGAAGCAGCTCTTCCTCCCCCAGTGGCGCCTCCATCCTGGCCCAGCTGGCCGGGGGCTCCTGCACCTGATCGAGGGCTTCTTCCTCCCACTGCCCTCTCCTGTCCCTGCCCCAAGCCCCCTCCTGACCCCACAGGCAGGAAGCAGCTCAGACACAGCCCACCTATGGGGTGGGGTCGCCCGGAGACCTCCCCCCACACCCCTACAATACCACCCTTCGCCTATCCGCAGACACCTCCACCCTAGGTGCCACGCCTATCCAGCGCTCCCAGAGGCCTGACCCCAGGCTGAGCATGGACCTGGGATGAAAACAAAGCCCGTCCCCCAGCTCTGGGAGCATGTGACGATGTCCATAATAAAGAGGTGAGCTAATGGGACAGAGAAGGGAAATGACCTAGGTCAGGAATCTGAGGAATCTCAGAGGGGACACTCCAGCTAGGGTTTAGAGGCTGCATAGGAGTCCGCAGCACAGAGATACTGTGGGAGGGAGTTAGGTTGTGAAAGGACATGCCCAATAGAGAAGGTGCGAGCAGCTCTGTGGACACAAATGGAATGAGCAGCAGGCTACAGAGCACTCAAGAGTGACCCTGAATGCTGGGCCAAGAAGTGGGGAAATGGAAGCCACTGGAGGGCTGATGTTGGAAGTGATTGACAGTCGATCTGTGCTGTCAGGAAAAATTCTTGGACAGAGGCTCCCTAAGATCTGGGGCAGCCAGGCCTGTAATGGCCTAAGGACAACCCTTCCAGGGAAGCCAGTGTCAAGCGTCCTGGCCTGCTTGAGGTGACGCGCTCTTGGCTATCACGTGCGAAGCCCTGGGTTCAATTCCCAGTACTGCAGAAAAGAAATGGGGCGACTTGGCCTACAGGCACCTCTGAGCATCCCAGGCAGCTCGCCCTTGGGCTGCAGAATGGGGCCGCGCCCCCTTTGCACGTGTGAGCAGAGACAGGCAGGGGAACAGAGGCAGGGGGCAGAAGCTCTGTAAGTTCTTAGACTGTGACTTCCAAGTCCAACCGGAACTGGGCTGCACCCAGCCCTTGGCCATCCCTTGAGGCAGCCCAGCCACAGCCACCTTGGCCTGGGGACCACACGAACAGCCTCTCCTATCCCCTCTGCCTAAGCACAGGCTGAGAGTTTGGGCACCAGGGGGCTGGGGACACGCAGCCGGGCCATGGAGGCCCAGAAACGATGCCTGATCTCTGCAAAGCTGGGAACCCCCAGGACAGTGAGCATTCATGAATCGCCCACTGTGTGCAGGGTCTGGGCCAAGCACCTCACGTCCATCAGTCCTCACAATACACCTGTTACCATGGCCACCAACACGCACCCCATTCTTCAGGTGAGAAAAGTGCTGCTCAGAGGCAGAACAACTTGCCCAAGGTCTCCAAGCTACCAAGATACGAAATCCAAATGTAAACCCAGGATGCCTGGCTTTGACCTCTCTCCTCCCCGCCTCCCTGCCCAGGAACGCCTCCACTTGGAGTTAAGAGAAATCAACACCAATTTGAGCAATTGTGGTATAAAGGTGAATTAAGAATTGTAATGCACAAATAAAGAAAGAAAGAAAAAATAAATAAAACATTTAGCTCAGGAAAAAAAAGAGAAAAGAAAAAAAAATCAACACTTTGCAATAAGCCCAAAGAGAGAGGAGTCGAGCCCTGACCTGCTTTGACAGCCAGAAAAATCAAGGACTCATTTCAGATCCCCTCCAACTGGGCACATCTGCGTGTGGAAGAGCATAGACTCCCTGCTGGGGGGCTGGGGGGTTAGCTAATGTGGCCTCCCAAATGTCTTTCAAAATCTCCTGTTGGATTTAAGAAATCCATGTATACTTTCCATCCTCCCCACCACATATAAATAGCTCTCTTTTCTGCCAAATCTTCCAAGTTTAAAAAATGAGACTCCCAGAAGCTAAGCTGTCTCTATCCTGGGGTTGCAACTCCCACAAATGCCCTGACTTGTCCACTGAGGCACCTGCCTTCCAGGTAAGTGCTGGCCCTTGGTCCAGGTCCAGCAGAGTAGAGGCCTGGGGCAGCATGTCCAGCCCCTGGAACCACAGTCACCCCTTCCCAGCCCTGGATCACCTGCCAGCGAGTGCACCACAAGCCCCATGGCTCAGGGTCAGTTCCACCCAGGGCCCCAGACACCTGCAAGCCCCCACCTGCCCCCACTGGCCACCCTGTGCTCTCAAGCCCCTCACCGGAGGCCAAGAGGAGGAAGTGGGGGAAGAGATGGGTTCCATTCCCTGGCTCCAGAGCCTGGGGGTGGCCTGCCTGCTGCCGGCAGGAAAGAGGGAATTTGGAGAGATTTCCGCTGCGGATGTGCCAGATAATGCAGTGGAGAGGCGGCGGCGTCAACGGGGCATGTGCTTGCCTGATGAGAATGTGCTGCCCCTCCTCCAACCCCGAAAGACCGGGATCTCCCCAGGCTTGTCAGGAGTTTGCCAGTGCTTGGGGGGTCCCAGAGTAGAACACCGGTGAGCCTCCAACCTGGCATCCTGGGCAGGCGAATGGGGAGAGAATCACACCACCCACCGTTCCTTGGGCGACCAACAAACTCCTATGCACCCTTCAATACCCAGCTTCAGCTTCCCTACACCGCCTCCCAGACTGCCCCACTGCTGGCCCCCGTAGGCCCCATCAGGGCATCTGTTACTCAATCTCATGTTTACCAAACAGAAAGGAGCGTGTCCTAGGAGCCTGGCACAGAGCTGGGTGCTGGGATACGTGACGACACAGATAAACATCTTTCGTTTCCAGGGGAATTCACAGCCTGGCTTTCGCGTGTCATTTGAAATCATTTCTGCACATATTAGGATCCTCTTTGAGACTGGCAGACCCCCACCCCGCCCTCCCGGGAGCAGGAAGGGAGCGTGATTTAGAGTCTGGCACAGGCCGGATCTCAGCCAGGGTCTCTTGGATGGCGTGATGGAGACGTGAGTGAATGAATCAAGGGCAAAACCTACCGCTGCAGCTGAGCATGTGCTCTGGGGCCACGGAGGTGAGCAGTGTCTCAACACCCAGGGGACCCCCGGGGGGCATATGCTTGGACGCCCACCTGCCTGGCACAAGAGCCTGGCTTTGGCACACCCTGGCACACCTGTGTGGAGCGTCTCTGGCCCCAGTTGCCTGGCAGGCCCCGGCCACTCCGAGCAGGGGAACTGGGGCACAGCGGCTGCACCTAGGGCTGTACCCCAGTTTTTCCAGTTCCTGATGCCCGCCCCTCAGGTGGCAGCGTGGGGTGACTCAGGGACAGCCACCCTCTGCATGACGCAAGCCCAGCCCCCAGTAGAACCCCTCCCCCCAAGCCTGGCCACCTCCTAGGCCTCAGGTGGCAAGGTCCTGGGGTTAAGAGGTCACAGTGGCAATTCGCCTAGGGCTAGTCACCTTCCCACGCCAGGCCCAGTGAGTGACCACGGGCACCACCTCAGGCCAAGGATGTGGAGCCTGGACTTTGTCTCTACGCCCTGATGGCAGTAAATTGGTGACCTGTGAGTTATTGACCCAGCAAACGGGGGGACTGATAACTTCAGGCCCTGCTGTTCCTGCAGAGGGGGTCTGTCCCCAGGGC